GCCGGACTCCCCGGCTCTCCGGGGACAGCGGGAGCGGCGCCGGCAGCCCTAGCTGAGCCACTACAGACTGCAGACCGCGGTTGTGCTCTCCCCTGAAACGTGGCTGCAGGATGTAGCAACATGTTTGATGTCTGATCCCTTATATGTCGATGCTTTTTCCTAGAACAGCATTGGAAAAACGATTAGCTCTTAGTGGAGGCCAAAGGTCCAAGATGAGACTAAAACAGACTCCATGAGTTTAATTTGGGGTTCTTCGCTCGAGGGAATTGTGGTTACACTTATGAAAGTAAGAGGGTCACAAGCACTGTCTGGACCTCAGAAGAGGAAACTGTCACAGGCACAATAACGCCAAGTCCTCTTGCACTTCTTGTTATTACCCAATTCCTGAACTCGTGCCTGGGTCCTTCAAAGGCTAATCGCCTGACACTGCTCCCAATGTGAGTTTCTACCATGCAGGTAACTTGTGAGCAGTAGAAAAGAGTATACAATAGGCTTTGTCCAGAATTCAACCCAACCAAATTTTATCCACACTGTTGCATGAACACTGCTAGGTAATAGTTCCAATCCTGCAAACACCGTTTTTCTTTTGCTGGGTCAGAGCAAGAAGTGTCAAGGAGAACCTGGGGCATGTTGCTCCCTCTCCTAGTCTTTGCTTTGCAAACTCGAGATTGGCTTGGGCTCATAACAGGCTTTCTCCAAAGGCTTTGAACCTAAGCAGGTTCTCTAACCCATTTCTAATCCACCCTACTTGTGGGTTGAAGTACTCCCTTGAGGCCACATTCCTAGAGAGACTCCAGCCCTTAGGCGCTTAGTGCCTTACATTTTATGAGAGAGCGCTCCCTAGGGGTCACCAGGTATTATAGATTCAGAGAAATGGGCCCTTTCAGCTTCTTGATAGTGAGAGATAACCTTATAAAATAAGTATATTAAATTATTAACAAAATAATATTAACAATAAAGGCAGATTTATACCAAGTATTTGCATGTATTTGTTCTAATGGATTTAATATTATTTTCTGTATACAGAGTCTTCAATGACAAATGGAGTAGAGAAAGAAATAAAGCAGCCCTTGACAATTAGAGAACAGAAAAGTCTTACGTGGAAATAGCCAAAGAATTGTGGTCATAGTCAGTTTCCTCATCACTAAGACACAGTTCCCAACACCCACCACACAAAGGAGGAGAGATTTTGGTTCACAGCTTGTAGAGGTTTCCATGCATAGTCGGGTGGCTCCGTGGCAGGACAGCATGGCAGGGGAGAGGACAACAGGAACAGCTGCGCCGGTCTTGTTCAAGAAGTAGAGTGGAGGGAGGAGCTGAAGAGAAAGACGAAGGCTCCCAAGTCAAGCCCGCAGTGACCTACCACAGTGACCTACCTCTTCAGACCAGACCCTAACTCCCAACAAGTTAGCTGTCAGCCTCGTAATCACCTTCCCAAAGCCCCGCTTATGAGCATATGAGGCTTTGGGGGACACATGCAGGTAGAAACCACAACAATACTGTTGTAGGACATATAGTTATAGTGAACATAATGTCATTCAAAACATAAAAGGAATAATGTGATTTTCAAATTGGAATGCTTCCTGTGCTGATGAGATTCAGGGTGCAAGAAAGCAGTTTACTGGGAGATGCACGATAAACAGGAAGTTCTAGACAGGCCGGAAATCTGTAAAACGAATGTTTGGAGACTCTGAAGGTTCATTCTTAGGCATTATCAATTTGCTGGGTTCAAAATACACAAGAAAGGCTAAATCAGATCTTTTAAAAAAAATTGCCTTTAGATAGGGAAAAATGAAAGACATCTTTAGAAATTTTAAGCAGATACTATAGTCCTCAAATAATAGGAATTAAGGAGAAGGTAGAAAAATAGTGTGCTAATTTTTGATGATTCTAGTAGATTGCAGAACTCAGTTGCCAACTAATTATTGAGTTCCAAGAAGAGGACAGCAGATAAAGGGACATTGGCAGCAGAAAGAAAAGGTTAATTAGAATAAGAAGGTGCAAAGAAGAGGTGGAAGAAAAGACAGTGTATGCATTGCCACCAAGACTAAGGAAATGTACAGATAACGTATGATTTTAGAGTAAACCCTGTTTGGATATGAGTCTGGCAATCACTGACTTTTAGCTGTTCTTAAATAAGAAATTTGACTTTTTTAAAGCCTCAGCTCTTCTCATTTGAGAAATAAGGATCCCTCCATTGAGGGGTGGATTCTTATTATTTGTTATGGATTTCATGTTGGTGTTTGATATGCTGTGTGAAGAGAATACACCTAAATAGTTGATGGCGGAAGGAGGTATTTTTAAATATATTATCTTTTAAACTACAGGAATATGGACACCTATCTATAACAGGAAAGATTCCAATGTTGGATCAGGAATTTTGGGAAATTAATATACTTCTGTGAGTCCCAGCTTTTTCATAATCGCTTTTCTCAGATTGCTCCAGTGAGTGATAGAGGACCTCAAAGGTCACCTGAGGATCCAAACATCATGTTTCGAGAGCTACATTTTAGTGTGAATTTCTTCTCTGTTCCTATCTTCAGATTCAGGCCCTTTTGGCCTCCCTAAAGGAACATCATTTTTGTCTTCTTGATGATGATGTGAAATCCAGCTGTGGGACCAGTGGTGATGTGAGTCCAGTCCTGGAAGTGCTGTCAGCACTGACTGGGCAGCCCTTTCCAACATCTTCTTCCCTAGAAAATTGACTGCCCTTTTCTCAGCCTCTACTACCTTTCATCTGAGGCTCACTCCTGAACTTCCCTCATTACCTCTGAACATAAGCTGGTGGCCTTAAAGCATGAATCACATATTGGATCTCTACTATTCAAAAGCATCATCCTAGGCACTGTGGAAAGCCAAAGACACGACAGATACTATGAATGACTAAATGACAGCAATGGATTTATCAGAGAATGACATTATAGCAAATAACTAAAAAATCTGTGTCTTGGTACAATAAAAAGTTCACTTCTCACTCATAGACTTTTCAGTATTCACAAGTTTTCACTGTCATTGGCTCCCAGGGACCTTTGACCTGGTGATTTTCCAGAGTCTGGAACCATAAACACCTTCTGGGACCTTCTGAATCCCACTGGCAGATGAAGAAAGAGCACTGTGAATGGTGGAAGCCAGGCCTCAAACTGGCACATTCATGGAGTGATCCAAAACCACAGGGACTTTAAAAATTTAAAAATTGCAGTCAAAGACGTATTGTAGATAATCAACCCCCTTCGATATGCTCCTCTCACTCCACACACACACCATTCTTGCTGCCTTCTGAAAGTCCTCTTTTGTCTTTATGAGGGATCAATACTATAGTGATTGCTGTCACTGAGTGTCATGCAAACAAAAAGCAAGCTAAAAAAAGAAAACCCCAAAAAACAAAAAAACACTAGGATATGTCCTCATCCACCTTGTTCATCAGATATGTCTCTGTGCAGCTTCTGGATCTTCCCCAAAGTCAAAATGATCATGAAAGGTAACTGAATTGATTCAGTATAGCAAGGCAGCCACAACAGCACCGCTGAAGACATCCATGAAAGAGTACTTCCAGAGCTCCTTCAAGAACATGGCAAGAATTATGAGACGTGTGCTCAAAGGGATTGGGAGCATTTTGAGGTAGATTAATGGCAATGTGTCTTTCCATGCAGTAAATTCTTTTTAAAATTTAGACACTCACATTATTGATCACACCTAGCTGTATCCTCTGCTCAGTATTGCATTGGCCAAAGCCTAATGACTTGCAACACCTAATGGAAAATGAGCTGGAGAATGAGGTCTATCTGCATGTCTAGGAGGAAAAGGTTACGAGGCTGATAACCATACCCTTAGTAGTCCCACCTGCAATTAAGATGGTGATAAGGCAAGCATCATGGAGAATCAAGACAGGGAGTTCACATCTTTTGGGAGGTGATAGTAGTTACTTCTCAACTGGGCCCTTAAGAGTCACAAAGATTTCAACTGCTGCACAAAAGGAAGATATAGATTTTATGCTTAGCTTCAACACAACTAAGACAAAGCTGGAAAAGAATGATAGGTACAGATTGAGAATGGCTATAATTTCCAAGTTTAAGAGTTTATTTAGTCTTCATCTGCAGACATTAAGAATCCAGGAAGTTTCTTTCTCAGAAGATATATTAATGAAGATATACTAGCCATCAGGATAAGGTGAATCTGAGAGTAATGTTATATTATCATTAACTATAAATTCACAAAGCAAAATTCCCTTTTTTGAGGGGGCAAAAAAATTATATATTTGACATAACAGAAAAATATATGTGAAATGTCAGGTTTCTGCCTTAGAGACCCTGTCTCTTGGGAGGCAAATGCTATACTGAGGTAACATATGCAGAAAGACTTAACGCACAAAGTTATTTAAACACAGCACATTGTATTGTTAGGTTTAGGACCTTACATGTGACAGCTTTCACTGGTCACACATTACAGTACACACCAAACATGAGTCTACAATCAGGCTCATCTATGGCTCCTAATGTGTTGGAGATTAACCAAAACCTTAAAACAGCTCTGCCATATTTCTACATTTTCTAATGTGGTCAACATTTAAACTTGTTTAATTTCCTTTTAACTCAACTTGCTCCCATCGGAATCACTTTACTATGTGGAGTCACTTTTTGTACAAGATACGAATTTTCAATGTAAGATCTCTGAACATTTTATGGGGCTTTCTACTGATTAAAATAACAATGGTTTTTCTTCTACTTTCCAGTGGTTCCATACCTGAACCACTGAATGACAGGATATGCAAAAGTTTGAGAATCAAATGGAGAAAAGAACAGCATGCAGGACTCCCCTCACACAGTGTCTGTCCAGTTTACACATGAAAATAAGGTGCTGCAGTGAAAATACTGCACTGCACTCATCCATTTTTTCTTGTATGTTTGTGTGAAGAGGCATGTCCTACAATCTCTCTAGGCTTCTATATGAACAATATAGAGTTTGGATGGACCAAACTCTGAACCAAATGCTTTTCAGTTGTCCCCTGGGTCAGTATTTCTAAAGTACAAATCACCTGAGGAAAGCTATACGCCAAAATTTGGCGCTGCTTTTTTTTT